AATTATTGAAAGGACAAATTTTGGGGAAGGGGGAAGCAAATACATTCATCGATAAAGAGGAATGTAAAACAAAAGAATTTATCAGAGTTATTTTATAACAGGTGTTAAGAGTAACAAAGTATAGTAATAAATATAATTTATAGTCACCCCTGTTTTAAAAAAGATATTATTATTGCTATACTATAAAATTTTTTTTTATAAATGATATTATTGCCTCTTTTAAAGATATTATTAAGATATATAAACGATATAATTTATTGCTATAAAATATTTTGCTAAAAAATCCTTGATTTGACTTTTTTATTTGAAATTTTTTCACTATAATTGTAACCTCAAAATAACATAATTTTGAAGGAACGCTTAAAATTTCTCTCATGGATTTGCTCCTATTTTTTGGAGATTTACGATCTTAAACTAATTAAAGATTAATTAATTAATTAATCTTTAGTTAAAAGTATTTGACCACCTACATCACCTTTTTTTTGAGAAGTTGCTGTATATGTTGAAGCTTAGTTACTTTTCTAACTTTTTTTCAATTTTAAAATTTGAAAAGTTTTTTTGAAGAAAATATTTTTCTTCAAAAGAAAATTAAAAAAATATGGAATAAGAACTGAATCAAAAAAGAAAAAGAACTGTAAATAAACTGTACTAACTATATACGAATTCACTATATTGTATAATCTAAAACAGATGAGATCAAAAATTAACGATTCTGTATGAGTGTAGCTATAATTAGCAGAAAAAATTTAAAAAAAATTTAAAAATTTAATTTTTTTCGCAATATGGTGGCCATTTGAAGAAAGGATGACGATTTTATAACGATAACTTTTTTTTAGGCATTTAAACGTACATAAAAATATTAAAAATTTGGAAAAGGTACAATTTTTGTTAGTTCCATTCCATCGATTCTCTACGAATTTCCAAAACGATATTGAAATTGATTGAGTAATTAAACTGTAATCCAAACATTAAAAAAAAAGCATGATTTTGGGGAAATTGTGTTTAAAGATTTTTTAACGTTTCTCTGCCGTTTTAAGGAACATACCACCAATCGATAATGCTTAAACCATTCATCACGCCCTCCTTTAGCTCATATTTTTCGTTGGATTTCTACTGGGCTGCAGATCTGTCTTCTTTGCTGAGGTAGAGATGTAGTGCTACGAGTGTACAAGCAACTCCTCCAAGAAGAGAGAAGGCGTCATCACGGACCAATTTAGTAGTCTGACTTAACAAAAATAAATTACGGAGTGGAGGAAAAATAAGAAAGATCTCACTACGTTTGGGCTATCAAGCTGTGCAGTGGGGGAAAATACGAAAGACGTCATAGGACTACTAAATCATCAAATTTCTTGTTCATGGTAACCCGTGTTGAGACCTTCTTTCTTTTAAGAGGGATTGGTACAAGGCGATCTGTGTTGCCCCTTTTGCAAAATTCGAAAGTCGTTTTGCCGATTCGAATACCCATGACATCCACCATGCTGGCAATCCCCATGAAACCGTCTCCAAATAATTGGTGTAATTTGAAAAACATCTTAACCGGAATAGATTTGTTTTGGAGATACTGGCCAAATAAGCAAATTTAACTATTCTTTAATCTTTTGACTGTTCGCGCCAACACCTAATTCCAGGAAATTGTCACTCAACAGGTTTTCGTATATAGGTATGATTGCCTCTTGCGCAATTTGTGAGACCTCGACGACGAGGAACAGCAGCTCCAAAGACCCCATTTTTTAATTATATGAAAAAGTTCCCTGGCAAAACGATTTCGCCCATAATATGAAGTGTACCGCATAGTGTAAGATATCAAAATATACAATTAAAAAAAAAGCGAATTTTTTTGTTGTTGAAATTTCTAGATCAGAATGCATCCTTAAGGCACTGAGCTGATAGTGTGATGGTTTGGGATTCGAATCCCAAATTCGGCATGAAGTTTATAAAGCTTCAAATTGATGATTACCTGTTTGTTTGAAGTCCAGGTGGCCTGAGCTTAAGACAGCTCCCGAACTTGTAGAGCCCTAACCTTCATAACACCTCTGGTCCCCAACGGGTTATTGCGAGAAAACTCTACTAAACAAGATACTTTCAGAGGGTAATTGGTTTAGTGTGTAAGTTGTAAAATGCTAGAAATGTAATCCAGACAATTTTATTCATTTACAAATAAACAAGAAAAAGCTTTAAGCATAATACAGGATAGTTGTAAAGTTGTAAAGATAGTTGTAATGTTGTAAAGTTGTAAAGATAGTTGTAAAGTTGTAAAGATAGTTGTAAAGTTGTAAAGATAGCTGTAAAGTTGTAAAGATAGTTGTAAAGCTTATTAAAATTAAATAACTTCCTATTAAAAAAAAAAAAAAACGCAACGACCAGTTACAGAATTTTCTGCCATGGGCTTACTACAAGTATAATTTCATAATTGGAAGCGATTATTTATCATTTGTCGTAGAAAATTTTACTTTTGTGTCTCGTGATCTTTAGTTTATAAACTCTTGCTTGAGTTTATGTTAAAAGTAGCAAAAGGAGAGAGAGGAATAAAGAGAGAAAGAGAGTAGGAGAAAGAGAGAGAGAGAGAAAAAAAGAGTGAGAAAGAGAAAAACTGTTGCGAGATGTAAATCTTAACATATATATTGATTTTTCATAGATATCAAAAATATAATTCAAGAGAGATGAAAGCCGCTTTCAATTTAAACTGTTATAAGTTTACTGATATACATCATTAGCGAATAAAATTACTTCTTATTTATTTCTACTTATAAAATTTGTATTGTTACACCATCTGCATTCCTAAGTTTATTATTATTTTTTTAATTTTATTTACGTACAGTTGAATATTTATAAAATCCTGGTAATTTTTCATTTTGTTATGATTAACCAGTTAACAAAATGTTCTTACGTACAACTATCAAAATTAAATCTTTTATTAGCAAATTATCATTGTTTTTAGTTTCTTGAAAATATAAATTTTTAAGGAGAAAAAAAATGAATGCCAAGCAATCACGGAGGTCGGTGAGCTGCGAGAGCAGGGGGCAGAGCTTCGTAGCTTATGATAAATTTCCCAATTAATGGCAAGCGTGTTATTTCAATTATATACAGTTAACATTTCATCTAATTTCGAACAATAGGACACACCCTAGAGCTCTCTGAAATTAATCTTTTGCTCACCCTGTTTTAAAGAATATTTATTCCAATTTTTAGAGAAATATGATGTGAAGACTATGAATATTATCATAAGAGCTTTTCAATAGATTTCCCTCACTCATTCATTTATAGAGTAGAAAATATAAATAGAGAATTAGATGTGGTGTTTTCGTGAAAATAAATTGAAATTCTGCAGTTCTATTATAGAAAACTGCGGAAGCGAAAGTGCCAGCAATTTCCGAAGTCTGTATTTAAGGAAGTGTGTTATTAGCACCTTGTACAGCTGTAAGGCATGGTGAAATTAAAGGCCTTTGGTATTCACATTCTTTGAATAGTTTTGAGCTTTGAATTATGAGGGATTAATTTAGAATTTTACTTAGATCCTTAACTAGCTGAGAATTAGCTGTAGATATTGACAAATTTATGAAATAAATTGAAATGCAATGACGTGGTTATTTGAAATACAATGAAACTAAAATGTATGTATTTCAAAATTAATGTTTCAAAAGGTTAAATTTGAAATGTTTCTAGTTAAAACTGAGAAAAAAATTAAAGGAAAAGGCTAGATGTTGAAATTTTGGAACTTATTCTTTCGCATATTTTTGCATTCTAAAAAATTCCGTATCAAATTACGGTATAAATTGCCAGCACTTTGGGAGCATCATCCGTAAAATCCATTTTTACCGTTGAATATTATACTGTAATTTTTACATATATACTTGTTTAATTAGAGTGAATCAGTGGCTTTACAGTAATTATTACTGTAAAACTTCAGTGTACTGGATTTTTTGTTACGAAGCATGTTCCGTTAAAAGAGGATCCGTCTACCACCTAGAATCTGCAATCAGGCAGAATTCGTTTTGACCAGCATTAGCAGAGATTCGAATTCCAGTCTTCTCGCTGGGAGGTGAACGTTTTATCCCCATAGCCACCACAGCTCATTACGTATAGTAAAAAAAATAATAAAAAACGTTGCTATTTAACTGACAGTCAATGATAAAACTATAAAACTTTCCGCTAAGTACTCAATTAACAGCGCTGCCAACTCGCCGATGAGAGCTTTGCGTAATTTAGGCGCCATTTCAATTGAAGAATGAAATTTTGCACAACCTATTTATATTTCTGCGCTTATTACTCTTAGCAATTTCAAAGGTTTATTATTGACTCAAGACATTTTTATTTTGTTTAATTTATTCACTGGATTATTGTACAGGCAATGGAGAATTTTAGTCCGAAACTAAAAATTATATTGAAGGACCTCAAATTAAAATAATAGATACAGAGGTATAAAATATTCAAAACAAAATTCGGCATTGAAAGTTTACAACTAATAGAAGACAAGTTTTATAATAAAAATGTCAATGAAATTAATATTTTTGCACGCAGTTTGAAGAAAGGAAGTATTTAACATTTTTTTTCCAACCTAGCAAAATAATTCTAAATACGTAGTTATACTCAGTGTAGTTTAATAATGAGATTTAGAGAAAGTATGAAATATAGAGAGAAGTTATTTTATTTTGTACCCCGAGTTTCATACAATTATTAAAATAAAATTAAGGAGTTTTAAGGGAGCAAACTATTTAGATAAGCTAAATACAGTTTCTGAATCAGCGATTATCTTTTTTATGCCATAATTCTCAAACTTTTATTAATCAGACGATATTAAATTGAAATTTTACCCATCAAAAGTCATAGAACATTTTATACATCACAGGAAAGTATCATTTGGTGCTTAATGTTACTTTATTATTAAAGCATGTCATTCATTAATTTTTGAAAAGAAATTCATAAATATTTAAAAATTTTAAATTGTTGATATTTTTTTTATCTTTTGCATTAGGGAAATAAAAGTAAAAATAATAAAAGAGTAGCTGATCGGTGGCAATTATAGTCGTTTGAAATCGTTAAGAAGATAGTTAGCTGCAGAAGAGTTTTATTTTTGCAATAAAAAGCATTTGAACGTAAACATATAGAAGAGAAAATGCCTGTTTTACGACTTGTGTTACATCCAGAGAACTATATTATGGTTAACTTGTGTCCTCTATTGTATTTGTCACTATTGGGTAAAATAAAAGATCTAGAAAGAGCCATATGTAATAGCATTGAAGTACGCCATTTGGAAACTGATTTTTTATATCGTTGTAAAGCTACAATGTAAGTAAATTTATTTCATGACTTAAAAGCTTCTTTAAAATTTATAGCTTTAAAGCAATTTTAAATTTAAGGTAAATAGTTCGAGAAAAAAAATCACAGTAAAAATGATTCTAAACATTCTATTCAAGATTTAAACCTGATATATCCACAGTATATCGGGCATCCATTTAAAACTTTTATTCTCTACAATTTTATAAATTATTTTATTCTGTGATTCTGTTTCTTGCGATTATAATATTTAAATGAAAACAAGGTCATAGTTTAACTTAACTCTTTTTGACATATATATTTAATTCTAATTTTCCTTATTGCTAAACTTGTGTTTAATTTTTTTACTGATAATTATTTAAAAATACAATTAAATTATCGGACATTTTGTAATTATTGTTTTAGGACTTCAGGTTTTATCATTTTATGTTTATAAGTTTATTCGCATTATAATATTTATTTAATGAGGATTTCTTTTTGATATTTTAAATAACTAACAAATCTGAAAATTAACTTGTAATGGTAATCAAAGCCAAAAAATTTTAATGTTGCGTCTGTCTTACCTATTAAACAATCTTTGATTTAGCTTAGTAGTTCCTATCGCATTGTTTTACGTTTACAGTTTTTTCTAATTGATCTTATTGTCTTTCTATTGTATCTTTATAGCTTTTATATTGTTCTTGAAAAAATAATTTCATAAAAAGTGTAATAAAGAAAGATATTAATATATATTTTATTCCACTTTGTCCAATTTTTTGTTAAAAAAATAAAATAAAATAAAAATACTGTAATTTCTTCTCCCACGGAAATCTTTATTTTGTTTTCATAAAAATTTTCAAAACAGTGAAGGAGAAAAAAGAGAAACAGTTAAAAAGAACTAAATGTTTTCAAAATGTATTTCACAGATGAATTTTTTAAATACTTTATTTGCAATGAAAAATTATGCTCTGATGTTCTTAATAGTAAACAAAGCAAAAAGTAAATTTGTACATAATTAATTACTAAGTAAATTTGTACATAATTAAATTTCTTTCACGATTTAAAATTTTTTTTTCATGTTAGTCACTATATGACTTATTTGGTTATTGTTCTTTAAACTCAACTTAAGACTCCATTATATTTATAAACTTTCTATAACTATTAAACAGACAAACTGATAAAACGTATCATATTAAGACAAGACAAAAATAGAAAACAAATAAAAGTTTTAATTTTTCTAAATTTGTCAGATTTACTACAATTCCTATCTGGATTTCGTTGAGTTGGAATTATTTTATAACATACATTAAAACCTTATTACATAATTTAATCAATGTTAGTAATGTCCTATTTCTGATAAATCGGTTGTGCTGTGAGCTAAAGAATTATTGAAAAGAAGAATTTATAACAGCTGACAACAGATAACTTTTGATCAAACGTTTGGATTTTTACTCACTAATGAGCAATCTTAATCGTTTAAGGGAATAACTTTACATATGCTAATTGATTAGTGCAAGAGATACTTTAAGTTATTCAGTCACACTCAAAAACGCACTTTTCTCGAAGAAACATATTTTTTTTGACGGATTTTGATTTTTGGGATATTTATTTGAATACAAAAGAGATTAAAACGCTAAGTTACCAATGAAACAACTGCATTCATATGAATGTCGATTCCCCTGTTAACGACATGAGCATTTTGCCCTGATTTGCCGCTCTTGGCCAGATTTATTTACCACTCCTCTTAATTATTAAAAACTTTTTATGTTCAATATTAGTTATTATTTAAATTGGTTTTCTAGGTCCTTATTACATCAAGGATTTGGATGTAAACATATTTTAATGAAGAAATCAAACCTCAAGCATTCCAGCTGCTATTTAAAAGAAGCTTTATATTATGATTTTGGTACTTTAAGTTTTGATAATGCACCTATTCACCAATGCAGATTTCATACTATAAATGAATTGTTAATTTTTATGCTGAAATATGTTTACTCAGATCCTAGTGAAAGATTATCTTTGGCAAAATGTTTTAAACTGTTATGGAGAATTTTGCCATTTTCTTATATTCGAGTTCAAGAAATACAAAACTTATTTCAGTTGGAGAATAATAAAGAGTTATGTTCTTTTAATTGCCTTGAAACCTTAAAGCATTGCTGTCAAGTTTATGTCAAGGATTTTCCCTTCATGTCTGTAGGAGAAATCATGCCAAGATCTCTAGAGCATTCATGTCGCTGCAAAATTCGCAAAATTCTAATGAGGAACAAACGATGGCCAGATGGAATTAACGAGTTGCAGCTTCCAGCTGTTTTAGAAGCTTACGTTAAACTTAGATGCTGATTTTGTTGTTGCCAAATGGTAAAAACTTCTTATTTTGTTGGATATTTACATTATCTAAATATTTGTTAAAATATGATTACAACATTTAAATAAAAGCTGTGATTTTCATAAATAAACTGATATCTGTTATGTTAGTTTACTTTTCATTTTTGTGTGTTAAACACAGAGTGAATCATTATTGGATTACAGTTTATTTAGATTTTTATACTAAAATTTAATTTTTTTTTAATTTCAAGTATCTAAGTATGACTAACAAGGGGGTATAACAAACAGGAGTGATATCGTCAATCAAGCTAAATTTTGAAGCTAAAATATATTATTTGAAAGAAGTTGTCGATTATGAAGTTTAATCTAAAAGTTTCATCTCAAATATACCGCAGAATTCGGTTTCTCGGGAAAGCGAAGACATTGGCTGTAAAAAGTTTTATTTCAAGCAAGTTTTTCATTCAGGTAGTTTTGGTAAGATAAATGTAATTAATTTTCTAGTCAATATAAATAAAGCAGAATGCTTATATTTATGTATGTACCTCATACAAATCCGCAATTCGGAACAAATCTGTAATCAAATTTATCATTAATGTATTCGACGACAAGACCGATTTAACTATCTCCTTTAAAACTACTTCCGAACACTGGTTCGAGTGCTACACCTCAAAGAACGAATTTTACAAAAGGCTTGATAAGTAGTTTATTATAAGGGGATAAGATAACGACAAAAATTTTCTAATCAATTTCAAATCTCTAGTATTTTAGAATTTCGTTACTATTAGTGGCAAATAATGTTCCTTGCCATATTTTTATTTATTCTCATTTATTTCATTCGAACATATAAATTAATAAGCCGAGAAAAGAAGAAAAATTTATTATTTATTTAGCGAAAGGATTTGTGTGTCAAATCGAAGCATTAATATTTATCTGTATTTTTTTAAGGTTAAAAAATGATCAATGGTGCAATTCAATCGTGTAAATATGCAAATTGAAAAAAAATTGAAGCATAAGAAAAATAAAAATATTTAAAACAAATAGCAATTGACTTTAAAAGGTAAGACAAAATGTACACTGTTTTCATTAATTCATTATTTCTTCATTAATTCCTTCACATTACCTTAAAATATCATTCTAGCATCTCAAAGAATAAAAAAAACCGATTAAAAAGAATTTCTTAAAATTTAAGTTGTAGTTCATTTACGTCGCACTAGAGCTGCACAATGGGCTATTGGCGACGGTCTGGGAAACATCCCTGAGGATGATCCGAAGACAAGTCATCACAATTTTGATCCTCTGCAGAGGGGATCTTAAAATTTAAGAAATATTAAAAAAAGAAAACGATAATATCATATTCCAACTAGTACTTAAACTTAATACCACATCGGGGAAATGAACTTAATTGATCAGACAATTTTACTATTCACGCTTTGAAAAAAAAAAATCATCGCATTTTAATCTGTTCAGGGGCAGCAAATTTTTACTTTAAATTTTAGAAAGACAGCATATTAGTAACTGTAAGCACAGATCATGAATTCTAAGTAAAGATAGTTATACTTGAATTCTTATGTTGTTGAAAGATTAGTGGTTGTTAAAAAATGATGGACGTTTTTAAGCAAATATTATTACATTCATAGTGAATTGCAATATTTTTGAAAAAAGTGTAGGAGCACACTTCCCCAAGGTTAGCGCATAAGAGTAGAAACTCTTAATAGAGGTGTCCAAGCCAGAAGCTTAATAATATCACTGAGTGGAATAATTAAATCAATTGTCGTTTGCACCATTTCTATTGGACGATTCATATTCACATTCTAATAGAAACGTATTCCTAATGTTTGTAATTTGTAACCCATTGATCATTGATGGATTGCCAGAGAAAAGGTAAGTGAAGTGAAGTCAGCTTAGACATCTCCATGCTTTACTGTGCCTCTTGCCTATCCAACGGAGAATTAGGTTGTAACCGTTAGTGTATGTAAGAGTTAAGTTGCTGATCTAGTTCAGCGCAATTGATATCAAAATTCTTTTAAAAATATAAATGCATTAAAATTAGAAAATTAAATTTCTTTCTTGTAATGACCTAAAGGTAAGTTTTGATTAAAGCTGCTGTTAAAATTTGATTAGTAAGTTGAAAATAATTTATTAATAAACCTTAAATAATTTACTATGCAGCTTTGTAAAGAATATTGCTACTTAAATTTATTGAAAAAACATTACCACACTTTTCTATTGAATCTTTTAGATTAATTTATAAAGTTTGAAGATTTCAAAGTAAAACAAAAATTCTGTGATTGTTTTAGTTAATCTATTTCTGTCAGCGTCATCATTCTAAAAATCAGTTGATTGTCATTATGACGGACATAGACATTTTTTACAGAAATGTAAATCTATTTTTTGTTTCAGAAAAGCTTTTCAAATTTCTTAATAATCATTAAATTTTTTATAACTATTTGTTAGAACCTTTTTCTACTAAATAAAAATTATCTAAATAATCTAGAACTAAGAAAATGTCTTATGGCCAACAATAATAAAGTTGTTTATCCAGTTATAAGTCATTAAGTATATTTTGATATACTTAGATCTGTTGAGGCAATTACAATATTTCCTACAAAAATTGAAATATGTACAGTATATTCTCGATATCTCAAAGTTGAAGGGATGCTAAAAGATTTACGAGATAGTGAGGTTTCAAGATAACTAGTTCAGAAATAAATATGTTCTAAAAAGTAGAAAAATATATTCTGAAATATTACTCTAAAAAGTAGAGTCAGTTGACAATGAGTCTAAATACAACAATGATAATCTTATTTTTAAAAGAATAATTATGCATTAAATTAATTATGCATTAATAATACAAAATAATTATGCATTAACAAATATAATTATGCATTATATTTGTTAATTTGGACAAAAATAATTGTGCATTAAATAGAAAAAATTCCGACACAACAAGGTTTTAGAAGAAATTCTCCGACATTGGAATTCAAATTAACATTAGGTGGATATATAATGCCAAGGGAAAATTGACATAACAAGGTTTTCGAGGTATCGAAGTTCGAGGTATCAAAGTTCGAGATATCGAGAGCATACTGTATATTACTTTGAATGCTGCGATAAAAAATATTAATTACAAAATTATTTTAGAAAATTCTTAGATATCATTAATGATATGGCTAGTTTATATTGTGCCAGTGCGCAACAACTTGGCGACTTGAATGTGTTGTCCAGACGATAAGAAGTTGCGATTTCGCCAAGCTACTCTAAAAGGCTCATAAATGAAGTGCGAAGCTGTAATTTGAAAATAATACTTGATAATGATCATATAAACATATTTTTAAAAAGGGTTTTCTCTATAATTTGTCACAGCCGTTTAGGTATACGCTTTTGTTAAAAAAAGTAAAACTGTAAAAGTTCTCATTTTTAAAGGTATTTTACGAATAACTCATTATTACGATATCAAGATTGACTTATGAATAATTACTCATTATATTGTTTTAAGCTTATTAAAAATAAAATTATCTAATTGGGTATACTATAGCCTACGTCACAGGTTGTGTTATTCCTACTAAATTTAACCCATGAACGGCATTTTCTGCGAGCCTAACTTCAAGCCACAAATAAACAAACGAAGTGTTTGATCGTTTAAATAGCTGCTCGCCAGATTTTATTGCATTATAAAGAAAAGTAATTGATATTCGATTTTTAATTAATAATTGATTTATGTGGATAGTGGCGTAGAATTTAGCATTCCGTCATGGTAAATGTTATTCCTACTAAGTTAAAGTAGTTGTGTTTTTTTTATATTATACCCAATTTTTAAATAATGAAGTTTTTTCTGTTAATAAATATCAATAGAATATAATTACGTGTTCTCACTTCGAGTTTGCCAAGAGGATTAGTGGTAATAACAAAAGGGTTAACAAAAATTTTAAGTATTAACAAAAATCAGTAAACTGATACTATAAGTAAATGATGTCATTAGGAGTCTATTTAAGTAGTTGACAGTTTAACTTTTGTTATTAACTTGGGCACTCATATGAATAAAACAGAATTTCAGAGCATTAAGAGTAACTGATGAGATAGGGGTGGAAAGAATTCTGGTATGATATAAATTTAATTTCGATTATACTGGCATAAATTGAATTTCGATAACATCAAAAATTTTCCTATCCATGTTACAACAGCTCTTCTTGATGATCTGGAATTTTATTTCATCCATATGATTGTCAATTCTCAAGATAATGACATGAGTTTCTCTTCAACTCTCCATAACGTGGGAAATTGCTTCTGCTGCTTTGTCTCTCTTGCCTACAGCGGATTTTTCTTGCTTTGTTTTCCCTCTTAGTTTATTTTCCCTTTTTTCACTCCAATGGGTGCCGATTTTTGATAGCTTGATACATGTTGACTTCTTACACCCTTATAATTTATAATGCAAATGAAGTTTTTATATTATCAAGTACTTAATGTGATTAGTTGAACAGCTTATTTTGAGTTTTAAAGTATAACTCCTCTTTCACTTTCAAATTGTAACCCTAGTAAATTCTTTTTCAAAGCTTTACTAAACTTCATAAGCCTAAATACTAAATAACGAAAGGGTTTATTTTTTGAAAAAAAAATTAAGTTCATATTAGGTTCCAATTTCAAGATACTTAACACTTTTTTAATAAATAATGCTTATTTCAGATATTAAACAGCTATGGATTACAATTTTTTTAAGGCGAAAAAAGCTGATAGCGTTCCAGAAGGTCTACGGGAAAAATATACTTTTCTTCCTACATTTATGCCAACTATGCGTCGCACTAGCAGTAGAGACGACATATTGAAATTCTATCGTTATTTTGATCTGGTTGAAAATAATAGTGGTTATCTGTTTACTTGGAAACATTATTTAAACATTTTGAAAGAACAATTACGTGAATTTGATATGATTGTTTACAAAAGTAAAACAATAATCAGTAGCATGCCTTCAACTGCATCATCAGAAACATCTGTTTATACTCCTAATTTAGAAGGAAACAAAAA